AAATGTAACTCCAAGGGAGTCAAAGGCTTCCTAACTACCCAGATGTTACATATCAGAGCCATTGACCAAAAAGAATGAAGACATCGCTTCACAAAAAGAACCTCCAGCTTCCTACTCTGCAATGCCTCATAGAGCATTATAAAACAGCAGAAGGGTGAGAAACAATATCATAACAGTTAATGCATAAAATTGTATATATACATATACTCATATTTGTACAAGTTATACTCAAATTATGTTCTCACCACATTAAGCATATACAATTAATCATGCCTCTACACATGCTCATGAACATTCACTATATGTTCCTCCAAACAATCATATATAACATACACAGTTACATTCATACAACTAATGCATCATACACAGATGACTCATGCAACTCATAGAGACCGACACACGACTCTATGCAGATGCAAATGCGGTACCGACTCATTTCAACAAATTCTCTAAGGAATCGAGTATTCAGCAGATTCTCCACGGAATCAAGTATTCAGCAGATTCTCCACGGAATCAAATATTCATCAGATTCTCCACGGAATCGAATATTCAGCAGATTCTCCACGGAATCAAATACTCTGCAGATTCTCCACGGAATCAAATACTCTAGTCAATCCTCCAAGGGATTACATGTTATGACCGATTCTCCAAGGAATCACACAATGCAACCGATTCACCAAGGAATCTAATGTAACCATCGTATCATACGAGGTTCTGCAAATCCTCCGAGGGATCATTCAACACAAAAATGCATACTAAGATGCTACACAATGCTAATCCTCCGAGGGATCGATCAACACAGAATGCATACTATGTTCACAAACATACTCATTGCATTTATCACATACATCGCATATATCTATCATGCATTCACATTATGCACCATTTCACACATGGTTTACACACATATCAGCCTATCAATGCGTTTCTATTCAATTCAAGCAAATACACAAGATTATCAAACGTTCAAGATTCACCATTGGCTCTACAATCTAGGATTCACGCCTTTCGGCCACCCACAGCACGACATGTCGAAACAGTTCACACATCAATCATTCATATAGGCATTAATCATAATTGAATCGGCCAAAAATCATGCTATGAATAAACAGCAAAACAAATAACACTGTCAGGTTCGCCAACCTTCGCCTGGCGAAGCCACGCAGCGAATGCTCGCTGGCCTTCGCCTGGCGAACTTCCCAGCGAAGTCCACTGGGAGTAATTCTGGAATTACTCGCTGAGGCTCGCTACACACTCGCCTGGCGAACCTTCGCCAACTCACTTCGCCTGGCGAACTTGCCAGCGAAGACAGGGTGTTTGCTTCTGACTTGCTTCGCTGCAGCTCGCTGGGCTTCGCCTGGCGAAGCTTCGCTGCCATTCGCCTGGCGAGCCTGCGAAGACAGAACCTCCATGGCTGTTCCAAAGCCCAAACTCCACACAACCAACCGATTAAATCCAAACCAGTCTCAGTGGCACAACCCTACCATCCCCCGACTAAACTACATCGTCCAATCCGAGTTCTAACCGATTAAAACCTCTTTCTACTCATCAAACCAACTTCTAACCTAAGTGGAAAAAGAGTAGAAACTCTACAAAATCCAAACACATACACATACAATCATATACATTAAAGAGATGATGGAGTTTCACACCCTTACCGATCGATTGCAAGCTTTGGTGATGATCCCTTGATGATTCTAGGTTTTCCTCTCCACTTTCTCTTCTCTTTCTCTTCTCCTCTTTTCTCTCTCTTGTTTTTCTTCTTATGTTACTATTTTTTTTTCTTTTCCTCTCTTATCCTATTTCTATCTCTATTTCTTTCCTCTCAAATTCTTTCCAACACTTACCAATCAATTCTCACACTAAATTGCTAAATGTCTAAAATGCCCTTTTTACTCTAATTCCCCCGAAAACTCTCCGAATCGGTAAAAATAGATAAAATAAGCAAACACCACATAGTAATATATAATTTCTCAATTTAAAACAAACATCAATTAAATAAATTAAAAGACTCAACAATTAATGGGAATTCAGAATCGGGGCGTTACAGTACACCTTTCTTTCTTCGCCTTGTTTCACAATAGATTCTCACTGAATCCTTCTTGACATTTTCAGTCCAATCCCATTCTTTAAGCTCATCTATGACCACGTCCCTGTTGAACACTACCTGCTTATTCATTGGTTGGAAAAACTTGTAACCACCAATCGAATGATATCCTATCAAGATCATCTAATTTGACTTGTCATCAAACTTCCTTCTTAACTGATCTGGAAAATGTCTATATGCTATAGATCCAAACATCTTCAAGTGGCTGAGGCTAGGCTTAACATCAGACCAACATTCTTATGGTGTGATTCCTTCAAGCTTCTTCGTTGGACATCTGTTTAGTATGTATGTTATTATCGAAACCGCTTCTTCCCATAATTCTTTGGGTAGATTCTTTCCATTCAATATACATCTCACCATGTTCATGATGGTTTTGTTCTTTCTTTCTGCAATTCCATTTTGCTGTGGAATGCAGAGTGGCACCACCTCATGCAAAATCCCTTCTTTTTCACATAATGCATCAAACTCTTTCAACACATACTCTCCACCACCATCAATCCTCAAAATTTTCAGCTTTCGACCATTCTATATTTTAACCATAGATTTAAATATGGCAAATACCTCGATCACTTCACTTTTCTTCTTGATAAGGTAAGTCCACAGATTTTGATTGTAATCATCTATGAACATGACAAAGTATATGTTGCCTGCAATAGAATCCACCTGGATTGGACCATATACATCAGAGTATATGACTGCCAGAATTGCCTTCGACTTCCTTCCTACATCTTTGTTGAAGCTATTCTTGTGTTGTTTCGAATGAATACACTCTTCATACACTTCACTTGGAATGTCGATTTCAGGTAACCCTGAAGCCATATTTCTTCTCTTTAGCTCTCTGATGTCATTGAAGTTGAGATAGCCTAGTCGAAAATGCCATAACCACTCATCTATGTTGGCTGCAGTTGCTAGGAATGTTTGCTCCATCACATTGAGTTCAATCTTGAAGGTCCTATTCTGAGACATTGGAGCCTTCAAGATCAACCTACCACATGCATCGAGAAATCTCATCATCTTGTCGTCGATCGACACCTTGTAGTTTTTTTCGACTAGCTGCCCTATATTGAGCAAATTACTCTTCATGCCTGGTATGTACAACACATTGGAAATTATTGACCTATTGCCATCTTTCCTCATAATCAGAACATCACCAATACCTTCAGCTGCTAGAGTATTGCCATTTGCAAACTTCACAATGTTCTTCGACGAGGGCTTCATGTTGACAAACCAATCTTTTCTTCTAGTCATGTGTGATGAGCATCCTGAGTCCAAGTATAACTGGTCCTGGAATCTCTATTCGTCTTTTGATGTGACCATCAGTAACATCTCTTCTTATTCATGTTTCGCCAGCTTTGCATTAGTTTCTTGATTCTTCTTCTTTTTTGGACAATCACTGAAATAATGACCAGACTTCTGACAATTGAAACACTGAATGTGACTTTTGTCAGACTTTCGACCACCACCTCTTCCTCTATCTGCAGTACCACCTCTTTGGTTGCCTTGGTTCCAGGGTTTTCTCTAATTCGACCAGTTTCCTTCATGCTGATTTCGACCAGTCGAATTGGTGTAGCCTCCTATAATTTTATTGTCATTTCAGCTTCCTTTGTCTTTCCTTTCTTTTTCTGACTGTACCTGCAAAACCATATCATTCTTTGACTTTCATGCAACTCTTTCAGCCATCCTTTGTTCATGAGACTCAAGCGTCCCTTGAAGCTCTTCCTTCGTTAATACTGACAAGTCTTTCGAATCTTCTATGGCTACTACCACGTGGTCGAATTTTGGAGCCAATGACCTCAAGATCTTTGGCACAACTGATCTTGATGTCAATACTTCTCCACATACCTTGATTTGATTCACCAACTTTGTAACTCTAGTGAAGAAATTTGTTATACTTTCACTGTCTTCCATCTGAAGTAATTTATAAGTCCTTTTGTGAGTTTGTAACCTCACCTCTTTCACCTTCTCTGCGCCTCCAAACGATTTTCCAAGAATCTCCTAAGCTTTTTTTGTTGATTCTACATCACTAACATTTTCAAAGTTATCTGGATCAACACATTGATGGATTATAAATAGAGCTTTATAATCTTTCTTCTTCAATTCTTTATATACTGCTTTCTCCTGATTTGTCGCAGTTTCTAGAAGCGATGATAATCCCTTATTAACAAGATCCCAAAGATCTTGGTAACAGAAAATCACTTTAATCTGCTTACACCAATTCTCATAATTATCTTTCTTGAGAATTGGAAGATTTGTTGGAAAGTGACCGTTCGGGTGATTCATCGCCATCATAGTTGTTCTTCCCTTGAATTGAAACGTTGACTGAACTTCAACCACCATCTATAGTGAATTCTTCTCAATCTTGATCTCAAAATAGTTATGTAGTGACAATGAACAAAACAATAACACGTTTAAAGAAGATGAGTATGAACTGCAAAGTAACTTTCTACCCACAACTGTGAAATTTTATTATCAATTTGCAACTGAAAAACCGTGATTATCAAACTTGATTATTACGCTGATAAGAGTTCCTCCCTATTTATAAATTTAGACTAACTTGCATTTCAAAGTAAAACCCAAATTATAAAAGCCAAAAAAATATCTAATCTAATTTTTCTAAATTAAATCTAATCTTTCTAAATCAAATATAATCTTTCAAAAGTAATGAATTATCTATTTAATCGTGTTTGCCATTTTGAAACTATTATGTTGTTGGGTTTGTTTATTTTTTATGAGATGTTGCAACATACTTGTAAGGCATTTCTTATAATAGATTGTGACCTTTTTACCTGTTAAAAAAAACAATAACTAGTTGGTAAAATGGCAGTATAAAAATGACTATTTGTAAAATCATGAAATTAGCCATTTTCAAGCTCAGCCATTTTCCTTAAAAGATATGGGGAACTCGCAGGGCAAAAAGAGTAGAGCTGGACTTTCCAGTCAAGTTGACTCGAGAATTCCGTCTACCACGGGCAAATCCCTCTCCAAGCCAGCACCGCAGTTATCGTCGGAACCACCACAATCTCATCATGGCTTAGAGAAGCTCTCTGCTGCCAAGAAATATGTTCTGATTCCGGACAACTTCACCTCTCTTCAACAGGCTTTGTTCCTTTCTTCCATTTTTGTTGTTTTTATGGAATTGAAACGTTGACTGAACTAGATTCTAACTAGGGTTTACGGTTCAAAAAAATATTATAATTTTTTTCTGACTGAACCAAACCAATACATAACCGATTAGTTTGAGATTTTAAAAATAATTATCATTATCTCAAATAATTTTTTCCACTAATACAGGTTACAAGTGCCTTGAGAAACGAAGGTTTAGAATCCTCAAATCTCATCCTTGGAATCGATTTTACTAAAAGCAATGAGTGGACTGGTAAGTAATATATTAACAACCAGTATAGCACCAACACCTCGGAGAAAAAAAGTGTCCGTGTACTTGTTAGACACCTACACCAACACTTGTGATTACGTTTAATTTTTTTATTTTTTAAAATTATCACCGGTGTCGTCGTGTCATTGTTGTGGTCGTCTTCAAGGTGTCAGTGCTTCATAGGTAACAACACTAAACTAAGTAATTCAAATATACATTCATGTGGATATTAGATTAATTGAAGCCATAATTGATATATAAACTGAAAATTATTTCTTGTCTGAAATTAAAATAGAGACTCTAATTGGTTATTATTTCCCTGCGAAATGATTGGTTTTTTAATATGTTTAAGAAGCCAATGTATGCTTCTTGTTGTTATTCAAGGCAGAATCTCTTTTAATAATAGAAGTCTACATGCTATTGGAGATACACCTAATCCTTATGAGAAAGCAATTTCTATTATTGGAAAGACGTTGGCTCCGTTTGATGACGACAACTTGATTCCTTGTTTTGGATTTGGCGATGGTAAGGCGGAATAATCCCTTAAAGCATTAACATGCATGAAAGAAACTAAGAAAGTCATTGTTTTTCTCAGCATTTTTACATCTGGTTAATATCTGTTACCGTACAGCTACGACTCACGATCAAGAAGTGTTTAGCTTTCATGCTGATAATTCAGCTTGCTATGGATTTGAGGAAGTCTTGGCTTGCTATCAAAAAATTGTTCCAAACCTGAGTCTTTCAGGTAACTATGATCTTAGCTTATAATGTTATTTTTTTTTGCAATCACGTAGCTCTTTATGCTGCATTTGCTAGTTATAGACTTAATGTGTTCACTGTTTTTAGATCATAGATTCATATACTCCATATATATTTATATCAACAAATTTATAGAGGACACAAAACACATAAATTAATAAAGAAAAATCATAGAGAATGCAAACAGTATGCAAATGTCCGAATTCAATCCAATACCCTATACACTTTTGAGTAAAGTCTTAAGATTGAGTATATGGACGGAAAAATTGGTGTTCGAAGATCTATGCCTCAGTATCTCTTCACTCAGCACTCAATCTTGACTAGACCGAGTATAGTAAAAAAAGCATTGATGATTCCTAGTTTCATATAACAAGGCATGGAATAGAAATTGCATTCCACAATTATACTCATGTTATGAAATAAATCATAGAATGGAATTGCCATAAGTTTCCTGTAGCAAACATTTGTAAACATTAAGAGTCATGGCTAAATAAATGTTCTGCATTTAGGACCAACATCATATGCTCCAGTGATTGAGGCTGCAATAGACATGGTTGAGAAAACTCATGGCCAATTCCACGTCTTAGTTATTGTTGCAGATGGCCAGGTATATACCGTTAAGCTGTATATTCAGACTTATTTATTTTCCCACTTTCCCATAGTTGCATGATTTTGTTTGATTTGAACTTCGAAGGTTACGAGATATGAAAACAATCATGATGGAAAATTAAGTCCTCAAGAAGAGAGAACAATAAAAGCAATCGTTGATGCAAGGTAAATATGGAAAATTGATTATTGTAAGCAACCTTAATTGCTCATCAAGATAATTTACAATAAAATGAATACCCTCTCTAGAAAAAGAAAAAAAATTATTAACAAAAATGGAATTTAGCCTCAGCCTATAACCATAACAGAGTTATCATTAACTATTAAAAGAAAACTACTTGCCAGTTGTGTTAATCGAACATTAATTTTCTGTTTTATACATTCTGCATCCAGTTCATATCCTCTCTCTATTGTTCTGATTGGAGTTGGCGACGGACCTTGGGGAGATATGAAAAAGTTTGATGACAAGTTACCTGCACGTGATTTCGACAATTTTCAGGTTACACCAAATTAGCAATAGCAGAGTGACAATAGTTACTTAGTTACATTACTTTGTTTGCAATTTTGTTATATTAAAGAATCTTTCTTGTTAATGTAGTTTGTTAACTTCAATGACATCATGTCTAAGAAAATAAGCTCGTCTGCGAAAGAAGCTGCTTTTGCTCTGGCTGCTCTTATGGAGATACCTTTCCAATATAAAGCAACCCTTGAGCTTGGATTACTTGGGTGAGTTCTAATATACTCACTAGATTTTCATTAGGTGATTTTCTCTCAGCTTATTTAAAATTTTCTGTTTGATGATTAGTTATTTGGTTTTTGTTTTTTCTTGCCTATGCTTTATGGCCATAGCCGTACTACAGGAAGGGCAAAGAAAATGGTTCCAAGACCTCCTCCAGCACCTTATTCTCGACCTATGCCACCGGATTATTTTCTGAGGAACATGCCAGAATCATCTATGGATGATGAGCGAAACCAAATGGTACATGTCATTGCTACTTAGAGCGTTTTATTATATTTTCTACTATATTTCCTAGTAAGTTAATTTGGGTACAAGAAAACAAGTAATGATGAACAATACTAAACACACAACACTTTTATTAAATTGTTCTCTAGAAGGTCAACACATTTTCTAAGAAGTGATCTTTATATGAAGCAAGTAAATTTATCTGTTAGAAAATAGACCTATCCAACCAGCAACCAACAACCAAGTCTTATTCCCCAGTCATATTACTTTATTATGGATCATATCTCTAGCAAAACTATTGATGTGAGCTATGAAAAGAATAAGTGATATAATCATAAAAAGAAATGGAGAATGATAGAGGATGATAGAGAATATTATGGAACTTTCAAGAAAAAGATAGTATTATAAAACTTTCAAGAAATACTGCTAAATAAAGACTTCGTAACTAAGAAAACACCATGATTAAGGGGACATTCATGAAGAGTTTGAAGAGGAGGAGATGGGCATGCGATTATATGATGAAGAATATAGCCATGCTGATTATGGGGAATCCATGGCAGTTTGAAGAAGTTTTCACACAGTCAAAGCCAAAGAAGATCCATGGCTAAGACACAATCTCTCACACTTGCTACACCTCACAAGACAAGATTTATGATATCATCATCGATAGTGAAAACACTGAAAATGTTGTGTCAAACTATATGGCAGAAAAAAAAAATATTAAAGTTTGCAACAAAAGGGAGCATGTACATTCATACAATTTACAATGGTTTAACAAGGATAATGATGTAAAAGTATCTTAAGTTGGTTGTATATTTTTCTATTGGTCAAAAGTACAGAAGACAAGGTATGGTGTGATGTTATTCTTATGAATATTTGCCACATTCTTTTTGGGAGACCTTGGCAATATATAATGGACACGCCAACATTTACATTTCTGTTAAGGATGAAGTTAAAATCAAAGTAGAACCCGTACCATCTAATGAATTCAATGAACAAACTGAATTCCAGACACTAGTATCTCTAGTCGCAATGGAACCATCAAGGTGACTGTTAAAGACAGTTTAGCTGAACTTAACTCAATCCTACAAAATTGGTTGGTAGAGTGAGAACTATTCCCACTTATTTACACATGTTCAGACCATATATTATCTGATGTGAGACTCTTAACATTGACAAAGTTGTATTTGTCACTTTTAATTCCTAAGACACCTTGAGGAGATTTTAATATGTATTTTGTCCTTCGATTTCATACTCAGTGACAGAAGGGTTCCAAAACGGTAGTTAGTTTTTATGTTTTTAGAAATGGCTCTTTTCATTCGATGTCAAATATTATTGAAGATGTCTCAATAAGGAAGCATTAAATCTTGACTCGAGGACGAGATTAGGGCCTAGGGGAGAATCTCTCATTGAGGGTTTTCCCTTCACATCAGAGAATACTATATTTACAATTACAATATTCAAATGTTCCACAATAGAGAATACTATATTCACAATTACCGTATTCAAATATGTTCTGGGTATTCTCTTATTTATACACATACACTTTTAATATCTCATGATTCATGCAGATATGTGCTATATGTTTGACCAATAGAAAGGATTTGGCTTTTGGATGTGGCCACATGGTAAGCCTCATTAAACTATTGGCCTCTCTTCTCTTCTTTTGTTAGACAATCAGTTTCATGATATTTACATGCATAGAAGAGTTTATTCGTTGTTTATTTGAACATATTTTATGATACAGTAGATGATTGTGTTTAATAAAACTGTGATTTGAAAAAAAATCATAATTAATTAAAGTGCCATCGGTAATCATTTTACAATTGTTTCTTGAACTTTATCTTTAAGCTTTTAAGTCAAACTTTTATCAGTGAGCTGACATCTCATAGTTCAATAAATATTAGTGTTTTGATACAATAATATATATTTTCATAAGCAATTGTCATAATAATAGCTTATGAATAAACTCTTTAAAATATTGGCAATGCAGACTTGCAGAGATTGTGGGTCAAGATTAAGCAACTGTCCAATATGCCGACAGAGGATCACCAATCGCTTAAGGGTGTTTTCTGGATAATTGCAGAATGAAAAAGTATGCACATTAGTTAACTGTATCATATTTATGCTTGGATTTGTTGGAATGGTTTAAGAATGTAGAAACATAGCAAGAATTTGAAGAAATCATATGAATAGATACCTGTAAAATATTGTTAATACTCCTTTAATTGCTTCTTCTGTTCAAATTTTACTTGTGTTTCAAAGATTCTACCTGTTTTCAATTAAAATTTGAAAGGTGTGTTCCCTAAGTTAATCCGATGAATTAAATAAATATTTGCATAAATGTAGTGATCATAGTTAGACTCTGACCTTTCGGGCCGACTCACAAGCCTATAATTTAAGAGCATTTTCCTATATATTTTTCTAATGTATCATGTGAATTTTTAAAATGTCTTCCGTTTTTGGAGATGTATCTTCGGACGCATCTCTTGCACACTCAACAAATGTCATTTTGAGTAACTACTTATAAGTTGGGTTATTTTTATTTAGGAGATACATTTCTGGAACATTTTAAAAAATAGGTTAATAAGTTGTCTGTTCAGTAGAAATTCCGGCGTTACATCTTTAGAAATATGCGTGAGATTTTGAAATTTTCTGTCACATTTGTATGTCAGATATTTATGGAGATGTCTCTCCTGAATAAACTGATAAAAGAATCACAAAGCCATTGTTATTTTTTAATCAAACTTTTCACCGAAAAACCCTCCATTCTCAATCAATTTTTTCACTCCAAATCTTCATTCTTTTGATTCATCACATCATAGGGAGCAAAATAAGATAGAATTTTAGGTAAAGATCCTTCATTTTCATATGCATTGCTCACATAAATCATCTTTTTTTAAAGTAGCGTTGTGTTTGAAAATGTATCTCCGGAACGAATATGAATATGTCCGGAGATGCATCTTCGGAACTGTGTTGGTTTTTCAAGTCTGTCTTCACCAGTAGCGCTTATATATTGTTATGGTTTTAATTGTTTTCATTAAATATGGTGTACTCCGATGTTTTTCCAAAACAATTTGTTTTTTCGATTATCCAACGTGTTGTTGTGAAGGCGGTAGATGTTGTCAACCTATTTAAAAACAAGCAAGAGTTTGAATCTCGTGATCAAATCCTTCAATGAATTTATATGGAGGGAAACATCTAGATTTTTATTTGGCATGGTTATCAGAAGGTCCGATAATAGGTCGGATATAAGATGTGCTTTTGTGACAATGACGTGCGAAAGAAGCGGGACATGCAAAACTCGTCTCCGAAATTTTAAACAAGATGGCATAGGTTCTAGAAAATATGAAAACTCGTCTCCGGAATTTTAAACAAAATGGCATAGGTTCTAGAAAATATGAGTGTCCGTTCGAGGTTTGTGGTTACATGTTGGCAAACAAAAACTGGAGATTTAATGCGATATGTGGTTTGCATAACCATGACTTGTGTTCGTTTAAAGTTCGTTGTTATGCGTTGTCAAAGGAGCTCGTATTAGCAAACCACCTGCAATGCCTCTACCAAATATTTTTTTCAACAACGAGATGCCGGTTTTATGCACAAACATATCGAGCGAATCATCAATGTTGCGGAGGACGGTAATTGCGATTACCGAGCCGTTTCAATTTTACTTGGTAAAGGAGAAGATAATTATACACTTGTCCTCCATCAACGTATCTAAGAGTTCAAGACGCATAAAGAATCATATACACGGTTGTACAAAAAGAAAGAAAAATTCAATGAAGTTTATGAGTCTCTTGTTTCTTGCCTTAGCGGTCCGGCACCAGAGGCAAAATGGATGCGCTTCCCATTTCACCTAATAGCATGTGCGTATGATAGAGTGTGTGTTGATCTGACACGATACGGTTTTTTGAAAACCTTTTTCCCATTGCACACTGTCCCACCTCAAAATTCAAATGATTGTATTATGTGTATTGAGTGACTTTCAAAATTAAGTTATTTTGTTCAAGTTTACTTGAAACCGGAATACTTTATACCACTTACATCATCGGAGTGGACGACTCATTTAACCACAAAAGCCAAGACTTGGCCGAATCATTTTATGGAAATGATGCAAGAATTCGAGAAATTGAACAACATTGAAAAAGAATCAAATGCATAAAAGTCCAAGAGGTACCACCTATAGGTTTAGACGACGACATATGTTTCAATTCGTTTTAATTTCTTGTTTAACCGGACAAATAATTGTATGTAATTGTATCTCAATATTAATGAAGTGTAATATATTCACCTTTTGTGCATATTGTGTCTTAATCCATTTTTTATCTTCCCCATATAAACATTTGTTCTTTTGTAAATGACAAAATATGTTCTTTTTTAGGGTTATGTTTTGGAACTGATTCAGGATAAGTTTCAGAGATGTATCTCCGGAACAAGATAATAGGGTGCGGTTCTAGAGATATATCTCCAGAATTAATCTGCCAGTTATTAAGTGGTCCATATTGATTTATGTCTTCTATAAATTTAGGTGCTCTTATGTTATATTTCGCACAAACTCAAAATGTCTCAAATGTCACAAATAAACATCTATTGGTTTGTCGTAAATGTCTCCTTCTCTAGATCTACACCCGGACGAATGTTTAAGTTCACCGACTTCACCTCCCTCGAAGATATCAAAGATGAAATTCACCATCTCCAACCTTATGGAGACAATCGAAAGATTGTGAAGTTCGAGTACAGTTCACTGTCAATTGACAACAGATGGAAGATTGAGTTCAACAAATTTGAGCTTACGCTATGCCAAAAAAAACCTTTAGCAACACTTTTTTGCCCTTTAGCAGCGCTGCCTAAAGTGGCGTTGTTGTAGGTAAAGGCAACACTTTTTTGTAAATGCAAAAGCGCTGCTAAAGGTCCCCTTTAGGCAGCGCTTTTAATTGAAAAATGCTATCTCCCCCCCCCCTTTAGCAACGCTTTTTAAAAGCGTTGTCTAATGTATTGTTTTTGTAGACTTTTAGCAGCGCTTTTTAATGAAAAGCGCTCTTCCCCCCCCCCCCCCCCCCTTAGCAGTGCTTTTTAAAAGCGCTGTCTAATGTATTGTTTCTGCAAACTTTTAGCAGCTCTTTTTAATGAAAAGCGCTATCTTTCCCCCCTATAGCAGCGCTTCTGAAAACGTTTTCTAATCTATTGATTTTAGCAGCGCTTTTAAATAAAAAAATGCTCTCTTTTCCCCCCTTTAGCAGCGCTTTTCAAAAGCGATTTCTAAGGTATATTTTGTTGAGGTTTTAGCAGCGCTTTTCTGTAAAAGCGCTGCCTTAGGTCCACTTTTTCATCGCTTTTCTTAGAAAGTGCTTTCTTTTATTCATGTTAATGGATATTTTAAAAGCACTTTTTATGAAAGCGTTTTTTTGTTAGAAGCGCTGTCTATTGTGCATTTTTTTAAGAAGCGTTTTTTGTTAAAATCGTTGGCATAAGTCTTATTTTTTACTTATAAAATGAAACTACATACAATATAGGCCTTATATACCTTTATAATTCAACACATAAACCTGCTTATAACCATTATAATTCAACACAAGACTTTATTTTAACACATATGCTATATATCATTATAATTCAACACATAAACCTGCTTATAACCAATAATTTAACACAACTTTATTTCATCACATAGTCCTTATTTATATACCATTATAATTTACATCAAACCTTCTTAATTCAACACAAACCTCATATCCATTAAAATTCAATACATAATCATGTTTAATTCAACAGAAACCTCATAATAACCATTATAATTTAACACAAACCTCCATAATTCTAATAAAACATATCCATTTCCAAAACCTTTAACTTTTAAATATTCATTATACATAATTACAAGTTCCATCAACTCACAACAACTTCTAGAAGTACAACAACTTGCAAAACTATACAACAACTTCCGGAACTATTCCTATTCAGTAGTACAGAACATCACAACAACTAAAATCTCTAAAGACCATAAACATCACACAAAATAAAGAAATACATTATATACCTTATATAATTCTCGTCTCAAGAATGTATTGACACCAATCATCCTTAATTCTTTTCAGTTTATCTTTCGAGTAACTAGCACACTTGAATTCATCAAAGTACTACATAATATAACATAATATGCATGATTTAGTTAAAACTAATTAATATTAGATGAAATATATATCTGCTAAATATTAAAATAAATCCTAACTTATAAATCCATACCGTGTTTGAAGTCTCTATTTGACCTGGATGAAGAGTTTCCTTTATAAATATCAATATAAAATAACCGCAATCTATACCACTACGCTGATGAGGACACTACAAATAGAAAAAAAGGAAAACAAATATATATCAGGATATATAGTTTAACTTGTTTTATCAAGTAGCATCACTATTATAATCAAAATTGTGAAAATATACATGCACTCTGATCCATGTAATGTTGTTTGCTTTACTCTTTGGTACTCGAGCTTGTATTTGTGATTGAAATATTTATATCGATCTAACATAATATAAATGAATATTTAGAACAATCTCACATAATAAATAAATATACACACGAATATTCAGAACAATCTCATCACTTACGTATAAACCATCTTCTTCATATCTGGGTATTTTGTTTGATCACCATCTAACGAATCTAGATAATATACTATTTCTCTTATCAGATTAATCACAATCAACAACTAGTGTCCATTGCAAAATAATACAAAAGTTAAGATGAAAATTTTCTATACAACGACAAAAAACAAATAATTATAATAAATGAAATTAGAATGAATGCTAACCCATGACCAATATTTATATGGAAAAAAATACAACTTTTCTGTATCTCTATTGACCATAAATGCATTGACTAAGTAAATTTAGACTGCATTTGGACTTTGTTCGATTAACCGTGCGTTGATACAGCTGGCAGATAAGAATGAGAAACTGTATGTCAATTGACGCGGGATCATCAATTTGAAATACAAGAATCTTAAATAAAAACATAATCAACATTAGAATATTCATTGAAATGAGTAAATAAATTGTTCAATTATTTAAACAAAACTG